AATTAGAAGGGGTGTGATTAAGATTTTTCCTTCTTTTGTATGTTTTATAATTTTCATTGAACAAGCTACAGAATTTACAAAAGGGTTGATTACAAATTGTCCTTCAACTTTAGGAGTAAATATTTAATGTAACGGTATCATCATGTCATCACTGTCACTTAGTGTCACCATCCAATTAGAGTATTTTCAACAATAGTAGCTATTTTAACTACCCAAAAAGTAAATTTTCCTATTTTAGCTACTCATTTTTTTAATACACACTCCAACAAATTCTCTATATTTTTAATTACTTCTTTTAAATATTATTTATTATCCCTTCTGTATTATATTTTTTGGAAATAGTGAAAGGGAGAATGAAAGAGAATGAAAGAAATAAGAGAAAGAAAGAGAAAATAATATATATTATGTTTACATATTGCTATAGTGATGCTCTATATTTAGAACATAACTGTAGCAAAAATCTATTTTACAGTATATGAATATAATCTGTTGGAGTGCTATTTTTTACTTTGGATAGCTAAAATTTGCTTATTTTGAACATTTGAAGCATCTATTGAAAATGCTCTTAGAAGACTATACATAGATAAAATGAATCCCACTATTTTCATAACTACTAATAACTATTGCATCCAATCAATAACACATAGGATTAGTGAGATACACTTTATCTATTTGTTCTCTTCTAATTTGTTCTTGACACCATTTGGTAGTGATGACATGATGTCACCCTTGCAATGAATATTTTCTCCAACTTTAGGTGATGATGTAATCAACTTCTCCAAGTTTTAATTTCAATAAATTGCCTCAAGACTATTAACATTTTTTCAATTAATTCGTCTCATTAGTTTTTGTGAATTAAACGTGATGGCCTTAAATTGAGATGATCTATTTATTTATTTATTTTTTTGGAAAATATGAAATTACCCTTTTATTACAATTTTTAATTTAGGGTCAAATTTTTTCTTATTTTCCAAAAAAGTGAGGAGAAAATATTTAATATAACCGTCACTGTTTAATAACAAAGCTATATGAAATCACATGAATCCCACTACCCAATCCATATAAGAAAAATAACCAAAAAAAAACATATAAGAAAATAACCACTATGCAAAGAGTTGGGGTTCATCTTGCTTACTAAGTTTGTTATTGGATGATAACTTTCACAAGATAATGATGACATGATATCACCGTCTCTCATCATCTATGATCGTGTGACCGGACTCACCCTCTCTCTCACTCACGCACACAAACTCACACATACACAGTGACAGCTGTATCTTTTCTTTAATTATATTCTATTTCATTAGCCATGGACATATATATTCGTATCAAAATTGATACTTCAATGCCAACACAAATAAAAAGTAGAGAAACCGCTCATGGTTTATACATAATAAACATAGACCGAGAATAAATGATGCAATGCAATCAAAATGACCCTAAAGCACTAACTGCTGTAAGGGCCTTGCATGGTTATTGGCTACAACGAATCCATGTCTAGTTCATGGCTTTGGAGGAAGTGGTATAAACTTAGAAGCAGAAACGAGGAAGAAAATTAACATCTCCTAGGAAGAGGTACTATATATAGAATCATGACAGGCCGAGGCCTACAGACCCTGATCAACAAGGTAATCTCCCAACCTCTCAACAACCATGTTGCACTGTCCAGGGGTCACAGGCTCCTCATAGAGGCCGAACACTAGAGCTTGACTAGTCTTCTTAATAGTGACACCTCCCGATCCCTGCCAAACCAACACAAGACCTTATATTATTAACAAGCCACAGCTCATGGCACAAAAATAAATAGTCATTTCAGCCAACACGAATCTCTGTATTTCTCCAATGTTAAACTGAAAGATATTATATAAAGTTAACTAGGAAAGGGCCAGGAACTTGAATTCGAATCCCCCATTTGTTGTTCTCACGAAAAATGGTAACAAGGTGATCCACCATTTGTGCATTGGTCCAGTGAGAATAATAAATTTGAAAAGTGGCTGCTTGTGTGCTAGACCACATCTTACCAGATGCACCAACAAAATTCAAGCCACTTCCATTGGCTCAAGGGGAACAAATTTAGTGCCAGGAGACTTTTGCGCACACACACACACACACACACAGATTCTATGCGTGGTTGTCCAGATTCTATGTATGTAATTGTGGGACAATAACACACTTCCATAAAGGGAAGCTTTGTCAAAATCCCATGTGTATATAAAAGGATCAATATCAAACTGCATGCACAAATATCTTTAGATTTATGATTACAAGAGCACTATGCATGAATCCTAGTGGCAGAGAAGGATTCATCCAATCGCAAGAAAATACTTGGCTAGAAACTTTATTGAGTTAAGCTATGTGCATTATCAAAATGGGGGAATTATTATGCATAAGAAAGATGTTGAGGAACATAAAGAACATTAACAGGACCTTTTTCCCACGAATGACAGCTCCAGGCTCTCCTTGGATTACCATATACTTTACCCCGCCAAGGTGTAAGCCTGTAGGGGCAAGGTGACCTGGTTCATTGAAATCAGTTATGATGCCATTGATCTCCTCAGGCTTAAACTGCATCCAGAAAAAGAAACCAAACAGAGTGACAATAATTAGTCAAAGTTAGCAATTAAAATTGAAATATACCAGATGGCATTGATATAACCATGCTCTGATATAATCATCTTAATAGTTTCAAAACATATTAAAAAGGGCAAATATCCCTTTAACCTTTCTCCCTGTTGAGAGACAGAGAGAAAGAGAGTATAACAGCAAAGCTATAAGATTTTGTTTACTGAAAGAGAAAGAAATCCAGTGAAGGTGGTGATAAAATTCCTGATTGACAGAAACTATGAACGCAGTTGAAACGAATTCTATTGATTCATTAGGCGAGATGGCAGAATGAACCATGGACCAATTCATTTATTCTAATAGGTCATGGGTCCATTTATAGGGACGTTGAGGAAATACACAAACTCCATCCATTCACTCATACAATGCAAACTCCACATAATAAAAACAAATATCTATAATGGATGCAGCCATACTATTCATTTTCACATTCAAACAAGGCAATTAAAAGGAAGAACAGTTTCCCGAAATCATCAATGCGCAAGAATCAATACAATCCAATTCAAGCATCCATTTTTATTATTATTTTTCCAAATAATTCTATTCTTCCACTCAATCGGCGACATAGTCAAACAAAGACAAAATGATCATACAACCGCATTGTCATTCAGTCGCGAATCAAGCCAATAAAATACACAAATAATCCTAACAAACGATTCAATATGTGCGGAACATAGAACTCGATCGCAACAAATTTCTCAACGAAACAACCAAATCAGAATGAATTCACACTATTGTAAAAGATCACATCAAATGTATGGTATCCATTTCACAGATCGAAGCGATAGAAATATAATCAACAACATAATCCCGAATACATACATATATATGTGTGTGTGTGTGTGTGTGTGTGTGTAGAGAGAGAGAGACCTGAGGGAAGGAAGAGCTCTGAGCCCAGACACTGCCGTCCTGGCCGATGATGGCAGCGGCGGAGAGATGCAGGCCTAGGCCGTCTATGTCACACAACAAGTGGTCGTCGACGTACGCTTGCCACGACATTCTCTCTATCTCTCTTTCTCTCCGATGCAATGTCTGTACCTTTTCTGTGTGTGGTGGTTATGCTGTGTTCCTTCTTCTTTGGTTTCTGTTTTTTGAAAGGAGGAGGAGCTGATTGGATGAATGAATAATGGTGATGATGCTCTCTGGACCGTTCGTTCAACCCGATTAAATTAGCGCCATTCAAGGCTCCGCCTTTATTTAAGGACATAACATAACGGAGTCTTCGTAGAAATTAGAGTAAATTTGGTATATGTCACTTAAATTATGAATTTTCTATCAATTAAGTTCTTAAATTTTTTTATATCAATTAATTCTTTATGCTCCGTTTGGTACAATCGAAAAGTGAGAGGATGAAAAATTATAAGGATGGAAACTTAAATTAACTCATTTAACTAATTTGTGTCAATTGAATATTTTTGTCTACATTTGTTAGAATGTTCTACTCATATGACTATATGACAAAAAAAAAAAAGTTTAATTGATACAATTAAAAAATTTAGAGGCTTAATTGAAACAAAAAAAAATTCATAAACTTAATTAATATAAAAATCGTAATTTAAAGGTCATATGTGTAATTTATTCTAACGGTTTATGTCACAGTGAGCCATCACTCTCTCTGACAAAAGCTCTTGATACAATTAAAAAGCTTAAGAACTCAATTGACACAAAAAAAAAAACTCAATTACTTAATTAACACAAAGATTGTATATTGAAGGTATGTATAATTTGTTCTTTTTGTTGCTTTTACTCATGGCAATGAGTACTTAGATTTTAGAGCAATGTCCATATTTATTCCCGAGTTTAATAAACAGATTTAATTTTTATAAAATTATGTGCATCCAAAAGTTGCATTGTAATCATAAGTTAAAGGATAGATAACAGAATTTATATATATATATATATATATATATATATATATATATATATATAAAACAATGAATAACTCTATACTTAATAGAGCTATTAATTTCCACTCATTGGTTATCATTGTACAGCATAAATGATGATTGTCAACGTATTTTCCCACGATAGTCGCAGAGAATTGGAATAGCTGCACCTGCATCGTTATTACATTTGACCCAACGTGGGAGATTGCAAACAAAATGAAATGCCTCTACAAATTGTTCTGACATAAAATAATCTGCTTGTTCAGACATTTTCCTCTTCAGTTCTTGGCTGGTAAAATTTCCTCAGAAAAATCAGAATATAACGTTTTAACAATGTCGAGATGGCAAAGGAGAGAAAAAACATCTACTTCAGCCACTACAATAACAAAATGGGGCATTCAATCTACAGTGCCATCCCCAGAAAATTTGCTTCTATTGTTAGCAGCATTGTCTAGAATCTCTGAATCCCGCACTGCAGCGACAACAGCAGTGTCATCCACCAACACGATAAGATCTTCCTCTGAAAGCTGCCCCAGTAGCCCTGTCAGGCTGTGCATGATTGATCATTGGAGCTCCTATTCCCAAACTTGCAACTAGCTTATGTCTGTAATGGCTGTTAAGAAAATTTAAAACTTCCAGCAAGTGGAGCATCAGCTGATAATTCTACTTCCACGAAAAATAGAAAGGCAGGTGTTAGAAGCCCCCCCAAAGAGAGATTCATAATGGTGTTTCAATAAGCAAAGCAGCCAAAATTTTCGAAAAGCAACATGTGCATGTCATCCTGAGAAAAAGGCAAAAGGATACAGCCACATTGGCGTTTTTAGTCTGTTCTTTCCACCAGCAAGCGGATGCAACACGCTTAAAAAGTAATAGAGGTGTCCAGCAATGATTCCCAACAGATCTGGCATAATTGGTGAGCCAAAAATTACATCCAAAGCAAGCATGGCCCATGGTAAATAGAATGCCTGCAAGTTAGAAAACAATCATGTAGCATGTATCAGATATTATGCCCCCAAACCCAGAGAGCCTAAATACAAATGCAAACACCACTTCCATTAGATTTCAGACTCAAAAAAGAAAAAAAGAAAAAGAGGATCAACATACCTTAAGGGTCACAAGGCCATATATGTTGATATTGGCATTTGGAAATTCTCTACTCCATACATAGAGAAGCATGAAAACCATTGATATCCCCAAAAAGTCAGACTGGAACCAGGGGATGGCTGATAATACCTAAGTATGCAAGTGGGACAATCAACCAAATAGAAATGTCTAAAAATCAGAAAGTCACTTGAGTGAGAGGACTGCTCAAGCTCAGGTCATGCTGCACCGTACTTTGAGGAGGAAAAGAGGAGAGACAAGGAGAGGAGGGAAGAAAAAAAATGGGGGGGCAGATACATTGTAGAATAAAACTTTGAAAAGTCGCTGATCACATGACCTTCGGACGGTCCACCGACTCCACCCCATAGAGTGTGGCATCTATCAATCTATTTACAGCAACAAGATCACTTGTAAAGAACAAACCACAAAGCAGAACAAGAGAAAAGATAATCTCACACACCAATAAGGACATGGCACCAAATATGATCATCCACAAGAAATCTGCTGTACGTCTTTGAAACGGTCCAGTCTCCAGTTGGACTCCATATCTTGCTCTGTAACATCAAGAAGAAACAAGAGTAAGACCATACGAACCTTAACTCCCATGTTGTGTTTCACAATAATATTTTCCATAGAGTGTTCTGGTGTTCAAACCAACACCTCACTGGTGTTGATCAAAATTTTTGGCAATAGTTGATTCATTTTCTTCTCTCTTGAAATAAGTTTTACGGAGCACTTACATCATCAAGAGGCGAATCCCAAAATTGATAGAGAATGGGCCAAGGAAAAAGAAGTTTGTAATCAGCCTCCACAGCTAAAAATGAAAATGAAGTCACCAAAATGTTACTAAGAAATGTGAGAACAATGCATTTCAATAAGTAAAAAGAGTTTGTGAATTGAACACAAAATATAAATTTAAAGAGTAACCACATCATCAATTTCCCACTACTGTGTGAATGTGTATTTGTGTTTGTGTCTGTGTCTGTGTGTCAGAGAGAGAGTCAGATTGTGCCTTTATTTGTACAGATATTGAGTTGGTCTAATAAGGAGCAGACTAATATGCAGCCTTTAAACCACATATGCAAGTGAAATTACAGTTAGGCATGGGAATGGAGTATATACTACTACAAGCACTAAATTTCGTTCAAAATGACACATATGTTCCCCTTAGATTTTTTCGTTTTCTTTAAATTTAGATAAACCATGCATTTTCAACGGGATGAATTGACCGGTCCAAAGTTATATCTTTGAAGTTAAGTGAAAAGAAGGGTGGAGCTCATGGTTCAAGGTTGCGATATTGATTGTCAACTCAAAGGACACTAATACACATCTGTCGCTGCGTCCCGGTGTGGTATTAGCCGATAGGCACAAAAAACTAGATAGAAAGCCCAAATTTTTTTTAAAAAATCATGAAAATTCTAAAAAATATAAACAACATCCATGCATTATCAATCCAAACATAGTGAAAATAAAATATAAGGTCGCTACAAGAAATATTTATCTTTTTCAGTGTTTGAATTTTGTATTTCTATCTAATGTAATTTTCACATTTAGTATTAATTATTCAAAAATTAAGAAATACAATATACAATTATATAGTTTTTTATGCTCCCAGAAGTAATGTTAAATCTAAATTTAATTTTTCTAATAAAATTTTTACATTTAGTTTTAAATATTAAAAAAATTAAAAAGTAAATTTATCCAATTATATAATCTTTTATGCACTTCAAAGTAATAAAAAAACCTACCAAAACTTCCCAAAAAAAAAACTTGAGAGATGACAAAAAATAAAAGAAATGGCCTTTAATACTAAATACACCGACAAAGACTGAGCGAGTGAGAAAGAAAGATCTCAGATGTTTCGTTCAAAGGATCACCTGCGACAGTCGATCACAGGGAAGTGGGCGTTACCAAAATTCATTAAACCCCTAATGACCTACGATCTAGGTATATCAATCTCAAATAGAGTGGGTTTGCAATCCAAATCACCAATATGCTATCCCAAATTATACGCGCAATACAAATATAAAATACATATTCATTAACTACGTATATATAGATTTTCACACCCTATAATATATAATTTTGTATAATGGTGAAAACGATCTAGATAAGAGTTTCAAAATGAATTATGATCCAAAATACCATACTAGTCTACTCGTACACAAAAAATATCGTACTGCATACCCGTACCTATATCACGTCCTAAAGTAATCCACAATCCAGGTAAACATTGAGTGGGAAGGAAGATCTAAGCACTGCTGCCTGCTTTTGTGTTGCCACTGCGAGAAAGATTTAGGAAGAAGAGAAAATGGGATTTTTTTGTCTTTGATTTTATAGTATGTCTTGCAAATATTTCAATTTTTCTTTTGTTTTTGTAATTGCAAAAAAAGGTGAATTTGGTTGTGATTTTTTACAACTTAAGGTTTGAAAAATGTGCAAGTGGGTCTAAGATCTTCTCCTCCATTTCTTTTTTTTATTTCCCTTTTCGATTTTGGAGATTTGTTGAAGATTCCACTAGAATCGGTCCCGGTTCGAGTCTGATGTGACTCATCCAATTTAAACGATATGAGTCCAAGTCAAACAAATGCTACTAAGTCGTTACCGATTCACTATCAGGTCATAGGTGTGCCAAGTAATAGGTGACTCGTGATATTTGTGTATCATGTTTCGATATCGAATTGGTCATAGCCGAGGAGGATTAGACTCTACTGATACCTTGAATCCTGGTGGAACTAGGATTGCAATTCCATCCTAGTGGGAAACATATATACTATCTCAGTCCTCTCGAAGATTAAGCAAATACATAGACCAAAATCCAAACGAGTTCATAAACTATACCCGTCAAATTTAAACCCAAATTTGACATTAGGGCGTCTTTGTGTTTTCCCAAATTAAGATAAAAGAATAAAAAGAATATGGATGTTGAAATGGGGAGTTAACCACCACCCACAATATATATTTTCCTTAAGAGCCTAGATTTTATACAACCAATAAGTGTTTCAGACAACATATTGTGTACAAGATGCTACACATATGCGATGATACCGAAATTTCCACTCTCATCCCAATCTAGGACCTAGGCAACCTAGGAGTATAAATTCTACAGAATCCATTTTCATCTTTCAGTGACTGGAAGCTAAAGATGTTCGCACAGGAAGAATTACATTAAGTGATTTCCCAAAACTCAAGGTTATGTGTGCTCATTCAAGGAAACCTGCCATGGCTACATTGAGGTAGATAATTGCTCATGCTAATCCGCAAGATTATTGCATAGTGACCCCCAAAACTTACTAGCCTTCATTCAAGCAACAGGGCAGCATAACTATTGTAGTGATGAAGTTTTTGTTTCATTGCATGCAAGAAAGAATAAACCCTCAAGTCTAGGAAAGTATGAAAATAGGCAACGAGTGCAAAACAGGAGAGAAAATAACAATATGTCATGAGAAACATGTGTGTAGCTCATGCTCAAGTCCACTGGAAAAATGGCTGGGTTTAGGTAGAACTCTAACACAAGATTTTAAATCAAAACTTCAAGTTGAACGTTCAGAAAAAAAGGAAGAGTAAAGGCATTCATCATACAATTCAACCAAAAACTGATATTCACGGTGAAGGAATCCATACCTGAAAATGGGAGAATACTAGCTTATAGATCAATGCAATAGTTTCAGGATCATAGAAGCCAAATTGATAGGCCGTAGTAGCGAACAAACATATGGTCCCATAAGCCTTGCTTATAGGAGGAAGCGAGTTATAGTATCTGAAACAAAAGAAAAAAGAATTGGAACATTGACTAGAGGTAAAACTCAATTGTTCCATCAGAAACAGATATGTATTATGATATATATGGGTGATTAACAATAAGCCTATAACCAATCCCCTTTGTTTATAGCATGAGACATACATATTGCAATACAAAATCATAAAGCAAACAAACAATTGTAGAAAATCCATATGAAGGGACAAAGACTTCTATCTGATGATAAAAAAAGCTTCAGTAAAAAAAAACAAATCTAGAAGAGTTAAGAATGAAAGAGATATTTATGTTGCCAGTATGCTTCCCATGTGGGACAAAATAGCTCCAATAAAATTACAGATTTCACATCTCAAATCCTCTCTCTCTCTCTCTCTCACACACACACACACACAAAAAAAAAACACAGTTCACACACGCGGGAGTAGGCCAACCTTGGCCTTTTGTGTTTGAATTAGCTGGCCTAGGATAAGTGCAATGTCCGTCTGGTGTGCACACAACTTCCAAGCATAACAGGACAGTCAAACATACAAAAAGTAATGACTTCCATCTTCATTGGTGGCATAAAAAAAAAAAAATATTATAAATTACAGCATCAATAAAATTTGGTTTTCCAAGAACAACAATTTCCAAATCTTTCTATTTGATTTAATAATACAGAAGCACAATAGTAACTGTAGATTTTAATATCACATAAGCCCTGATATTCTATGAGACCACAAAGTTTCCGGATTTTCCACTCTATTTCAAACAAGGTTTGCCTCGAAACAACATCACTACACTGATGTCTCTCTATGCCTGGATGGTAAAACCAGTAGGTTATACTGCTTCTCCCATTTTTGCATCTTTTGCAATGTGACTTCAAAGAAAAAAGAAAACCCCATAATGTGACTTCAACTTAAACCTCCAATTTTCAAAAAAGAAAAAAGAAAACCCCATAATGTCCTACCTCTGTGGAATCATCATTATATTTTAACACAATTCCCCATTGGATTTCAGGAAGAAATTTATCACCACATCTACCACTCTCTTCTTGGATTCATGTCTTCAATACAACCCTCATCTCTAATGAAATTAAGTTCATTCAAGTGCTTTCTTCTCCACTCATTTATTCAATGTTTATGCATCCATTTCCACTCTTTAAACCTATTCTGTGATACCATTCAAACCTATTTTATGGACAAAGACTGCCACATACCAAACATTGTGAGTTGTACATCATCTTGTGAACTTACTTGGTAACAACCAACATCTTCAAAAACTTTCCTTATCCATCAAGCTTTTCAATTTCTTCTCATCAACTAGATGACACCAAAATCTTTTCATTCCATTATTATATTTCTCAAAGTAACGACCTATGTACTTTCTATTTCAAGGACCTTTCGAAGTGTCGCACTAGCTTTTCAATGAACTTAAATTCTACTTTCTAAAGGAAAAGGACACTCACAATGAATACAACCAAAGGTCCAAATCCACACATTTATATTTCCATCTTAAATCTCGTTCTTTAGTGTATTGCCTCAAGTTCCACCACCAAATTTCTGGATGCCAATTTCCACTACTCTCCTCTTCCATGACTACATACAGCTTTATACCACTAAATAGTAATATATGATATTGGCCATTTTAGTAAACTTAAAAATCTCACTCAAATCAATTTTCAATGTTATTCACTGCCCATAATTAGTGTAAGATAATCTGCGCGACATTACAAGCCATAGGATAGTGGAAAGTCTCACATCATGTTTCTTTCCTAGTCAATTTTTGCAAAGATTGAACTCAACCCCCTTTGTATCCTCTCAACATCCTCCCTTTGCTAATCCAAAATCCCCTCTTATGAAAATATTTGTCTCCAGTACAAACTCTATTAAATTGCCTTTACCCTGTAGTACTCACATCAAGTGTAGGCATTAAATAATCATGAGTATAGGAACACATACCTAGGACCCAAAGCTACCAAAATATAGTTTCAAACTCGGACAAACCCAACACTAAATACACCCAAAATTGAGGATCCGGCTCCTTTGCTGTTAATTATTAACAGCAAAGGTGTTGTTGATTAAAACAACAACAACATCTCTTCTGTTAGTTTTCTAACAGTAAAGGATCCTCACCCCAAAATCAATTAGACAAGTCCAGGCTATAAAGAATCCATTACATAACATGGGCTTCTATTAACTAAAATAATTCCACAGCCATAAAAAATCCAGCATATTCCAATCGCAAGCTCCCTCAATTGAACATGTAACCCTAGTGTATATGCCATGTTTACATTTTTCCCTATTATAAGTAACCTATTTTTCTAAATATTATCCCATCTCATAATGGATTCCCAAATTCGTTTCCTCTGCTCTACTAAATTTTGATCCCATTACTTCAATTTCCACAATTAGCTTCCTAACCCCGCTTTCTCTGGGTAATGGCCATAGCCAGACATCTCCAAAACAACTCACTCAGTTCAAGCTCTTACATATATTCAGCAAAGAAATCATATGTACACAATCACCAAATCTGGTTCAGATTTAAGCCCCAACAATTTCAAAAAAAGTTCAACCATTAAACAACCATCAATAATCAAACACTAGCAAAGCAGGACTCAAATTAACAAATGAAGCACAAATTAGCGCAGACCATCACAAGTCAGAACTACAGTAAATTAAAAAAAATAAGAAGATGCAATATTACACTAAATTACAGTACGAATATTTATCTGGAAACAAAAGCACATAAATACATAGATTCAATTAAGAGGAGGAAATTACTCTGCAGGAGAAGACATTGCGAAGCAAGAGGCTTGATCTGAAACTCAATTTGAGATCTCTACTTACAAATTTATTATTATCTGAAGAAAAATAACTTAACGAGAAATAAAAGAGTGACGACGAACATGAAGAAGAGCAAAAACGTATCGAGAAAGAAAGCGAGTTGGTCACTAGAAACTTCGCGATACCTCCTCTCCGGAAAAATATTCAATACACGTCAGTATTCATATCATCAATTAATTATATATAAATAAATAAAAAATAAATCTAATACAAATTAATATTATCTATATAATACAAATAAAATAATTTTTTCTTATCGCGGTTAAAATCTATTTAAATTTTACCTTAAAATTAATCTGACAGTAAATATTAATATTTCAAATTTAATAAAAAAAAAAATAGCCCCTAAGGATGTGCTTGAAGTAATTTTTTAAAAATAAAAACTTTTCATAAATATTTTATAAAAAAAAATTGTAATATTTGAAATTACTCCACCACTATCATTATTATCACCACCGTTGTTACTCTCCCTCACCATGACCTCACCAGTTCCCCACCACCATCATTCCCACTACCACCACCACCGCTGCTGTTACTTTACCTCCATTGTCATTGTCCCACCATGACCACCACCCCTCATCGCCTTATCATTGTCATCATCATTGTCACCCACAACTGCCACCACACAACCGATCATCCTCATTTATCACAATTATCATTGTCTCCCACTACTATTACTGTCGCTCACCACCCATAACCACCGCTAGCCCCTACCACCACTCCCACCACACAACCACCGTTCACGCCCCACTACAATTAGTGTTTAAATTCTTTTCTATCTCCTCTATCTTTGTAATTTAATTTTAGGTGTAAATACAAGTATGTTTATTGTTGAATTTTTTTTTATTACTTCGTACCTTCAGGCATAAGAAATAAACTAGTCCTTCTATATAAGTTAATTAGTTATTATCTGTACTTGAAGACATAGACTAATTTTAAAAAAATTACTATTTATAAATATATTTGTATTCATACCTAAAATCGAATCAGAAATATAGATGATGAAGAAAAAAAATTTAAGCACCGTTTTGTAGTAAAAGCAATGGTGGTGAATTTTGGGTAACGATGGTAATAATGACAACAATGAATAACGACGAGTGATTGTGATAGGTGTGGTGAGGATGGGTGATAATGAGTAGCAGTAATGGTAGGCAACAACGGGTGATGGTGGTGGTGGTGGACAATGATGATGGTGGTGAGGGTGGATAATGGTGGTAGTGGTAATAAATATAATAATAAGATGATGATGGTGATTGACGACGATGATAAGTTGATGATGACGATGGTAGTGATGGTGGGCGGTGGCAATGGTGGTGACAGTGGGGTGACAATGGTGGTAGAGGTGATGGTGGGGGGGTTGCGGTGACAACGGTGGTGTTAGTAGTGGGGGGTGGGGTTGTGATGGTGGTGGAATGGTTCTAAAGGCTATTTTTTTTAAAGTACTTATGAGAAAATAAAAGTTTTAAAAATACTTTTAAAAAATCACCTCAAACACCGTTATAAAACCCATTTTTTCTATTAAATTAAGCGAGTTAATATTAGCTGTCGAATTAACTTTAAAATAAAATTTAAAATAACCTCAACCGCGAAAAAATAAAAGTCATTTTATTTATCCTTTAAAATTTAAATTGTCTTATACTTTATTATATAGATAATTACTCACTCTCACTCCATATAAGTCAATAATTATTCAGACGGAGTTTATCTTGTCTATTTACTTGTTTTATTATTAACCAATAATATCATGTATTAATATTGACATGATAATGATCCGTAAGTGTTGGGATACATCGTCCGAGAAAATATAATTACTGTCATCAGTAAATAAAAAAATAATAAATTATCAAGTGAATTCTAATAAATTCAACAACCAGCACCCAATGTCATACAATAACCATCCCATCTCAAGTAATAGAAATCACTTTGTCCATTTGGCCTTGATGGTGACAGTGGTTAGTGTTGGAACCACATGAGATGAGCGAAGGGACCACCTCTCTCCCTCCAAAAAAAAAAAACTCACCTTTAGATCACCAAAAATCCATAAAATTATTTAATACATTATATTTACACCTATAAAATTTTTAAAAATTTTAATAATAGTTTTAATCTTTTTTTTTTAAAAGTAAATTAGTAGTTCACAAATCTTTTAAAATAAATATTTTATTTTGAATTGAGCAAATCAGATATAATTATCCTAATCTATTTGTATATTGACCAAAAGATAATACTACAATTTATCTAATACAATGTTCGATACTTCTTAAAAACAATTTTTAATTGACATTTATCATGTTTTTTAGTAATAATAGTCTAGAATCTAATCAAATACGATTGGATATGAAAGACAAAATGTTTAAACAAAAAAATTTTTTAAGCTATTTCAAATATAAAATTTCCCTAGAAAATTGATAACAATCTCAACAAGGTTTCACAATTAAATGAAGAATTATTTTCCTATGGACTTTTAATTGTGCACATTGGTAGGAAATTAATTTACACTTAATTAAGATATAAAATGTTATAAATTTTAAAGAACATTGTATTTTTTTTTTGAAATATATAATTGGGTTAAAATGTACTAAAAAATTTATTGCGTCTTTTTGTTCACATTTTATTTTGGGTAAATAAAAATTGAATTTAATATTTCATAATAATTTTATTTTAAGTTTTTATTTTTTGTTATTCTTGAACTTAATTTTTTTTGTATCAACCAATGAATTAATTTTAGTCATATTTTGTCCCCTCATATATATTCCTGACTTTGCCCTTGATAGTGGTAATAATGTGGTGTTACTATTATATTGAATATTTGTCCCTATTGCTGATTTGTTGTGATTGGATAAAGAATTTGATAACAATAGGAAAAAGAGAAATATGGGCTGGGGCTAAGTCAGTTTACGTCATCTTCAAATCGTATCAGTATGAATTGTGTCATCTTTAAATCGTGTTATTTTACGGTTGTGTTGTATTTGTGGCGATATATCTACTAAAAAAAAATCAATTATATAACAATGTATAATATATTTGATAACACCATAATAAATAGACCATTATCCTCAAAGACCAAAGCCGAAACAACCAATAAGCAACATGACTCCTTTGATGGCATAATCGAAGCTCGACATCGTCTAATGCACCTCTTACATAAAGACCGCCCGAACTAATTCTTTACCTTCAACAAGCTCTTCCAAAAAAAAGAATCTTATAGACTGTCAAACACTACTCAATCAACTTATCCAATGGCCTCAAGAGTTCATCCCTTCGGAATGATGTCACTTTGTTTTTATGAATGATGTCACTTTGTTTTTAGGAAGACATGTGGAACATTATCAGAGATATTTAACAGAAAGATGATCCTCTTATGATTTTAATCGATTGAGGGGATTACACAATCTGAGATAAAAGCAAAAGTTAACCCCTGTATAATTAGAAGGTTATACCCTAAAAAAAAATATCTGATATCTCATTATAATAACTTTCTTATTCAAGTAATAGAAATTAGAGAACAAGAGACTAGACTAACCACTGAATCGTCTGTATCATTTTATTTCTTTGAGTCATTACTTTTTTTGCAACATCAAAGAGCTTTTCGGCTTTGCACCCAAAATCAATCACTCACACTCGAACATAGTCCTTTCGACAATCTCTAAATCTCTTTACGAAACTCCTACACTGATGTCTTTATTTTACGCTATCAATAAGCCACCACCCATAGACTCCCCATAAAGTGACAATTTACTCGATACTAGAAAAATCAAGTCATACAAACCTAAATCAAAATATATAAAAATCAAATATTTTCTTTATAGAATATTAGTTAAATAGATCATTTCAAAATTGGATTCTCGTGTTTGATATCAATCAAACTCATTTATTAATCATGTCAGCTGTTCATATTATTTTTGAATTTATGTCAAAAATTAGTCAATCTTATAATTCACTTTTCTACGTGAATTTTTTACATTATTCGGAATTTTTTGGATATAGATTGTTATATCATGTATTATATCAAACATTGTGTAAAAGCGTTACACAAACAGAATAATATAATGAATGATGTTAAAAGTAGAATGATATATTTATTATATAAAATGTGATAGAATATATGGTTGTTTGTAGGACTCATCATAGTACATATTAAACAAACAAACATGAAAGGAGATAGAAATATTTTCTCTTACCGGTATTAATTTCTATTGGTATTGGATATGTAACGAATACGTTTCCAATACCACCCATATATTTAATCTCCCAAACAAACGTGTCCTTAGAATTGAATCATATGAGAAGTTGGGCCTTGGAAATAATATTTATTTTTTTGCATTTGGCCCAAATGAAGGAACAATTATAATACCATATCAGCATTGTCACATAATATTATTAACTAATAAGAAAAAATCAAATGGAAAAGGCGAACTCTATTTAAGTAGTTATTAAATTATATGGTGGGAGAATCGGTAGTTATTAACTTACAATAACAAATTTATATGGGGTCAATTTTCATATTTGTTTACGATTAATGGGTGATACTAAGTGACAATATTTACATGGTATCGTTTTTGTATTGAAGGATAGACTATTTTTAAAGGGTCAATAAATGTTATTACCTAGCTAAGTACCGAGAATAAAAGAAATCAACCCATTTACAAATATAAGATTTGGCAATATTTGAACAACACGGCAATTCGTTGATTCAAACCCACAAACTCGTCATTGTTATCCAGTACTTTCGTCACTACACCTATCAGACATCATTATATTGTCAGTGCAAGTTGCTTTCTTGAGAATATTGTAAATAAAATAAAGAAGTTAAACATCCTTGCTCGTTTTTGCTAATAAACATAATGTTTTTTTTTTTTTGAAATAAAATAAATGGTCTAGCCAGTAGAATCTATTGTAATATCCCTAAGATTTTATGTGTTGCACATAATGTTTTTAATATGACATAATTAGTCAAGTGTGATAAAGATAAGATTATCAATCTTAATATGACATAATTAGTCGAGTATGATAAAGATAAGATTATCAATCTTAATATGACATAATTAATCGAGTATGACTTCCTAAACTCCTACTCTGTTGGACAAACAAATGGAATTGTGGCTGAATGAGCAAATCGGTCCTCATGTACACTACAAAAAACTAAACATTCTTTTAGATCTTACAAAGATAATTGAAGTCATAAAAACTAATTTATCCACAATAATATAATTAGCGATCACAATATGTGTAGGGGTCGTCACAATGCATTAATACCAATCATATCCAAACTTTGACTATTAGGCATAGATTTATTGGAGATTAGACTCATATATATATAGTGAAATGTCATTCCATTAATAATATTATTTTGATCTAATTTATTAACATAATTTGTGGACCTAATCTATTATAATCAACAAATTAGTTGTGGGTCCCAACAAATTCAGGAGTTTACTGTTAATTGAATTGTTTTGAATAATTAAATCAACAAATTAGATCAATAAATTAAGTCCAAGTAGTATTGCCCCGATTCTAGAGGCGGAGTTGGATAGGACTTCCACTCAATTTTGTTTTGCCAAAAAACTTTTTTGTGTCAGTTTTCTTAAATGTTAAATTTGCCCACTAAGTTTTATTATTATATGCTAAATTTGCCTCCACAAAACAAATCATTCATTTTAATTTATTGAATCATTTTTTAAAGTTTTATTATTTTTTTTTAACTCTCAACAAAAATAATATTTAGTTAGTTGAATACGTCGAAATGTGTTGAACAAATTACAAAACTATTTGTTTTTTCTCCTTATATTTTGACCTCTCTCTAAAATAAAGCTTCCTAAAATAAAGCCACTTATCTTGAAGTTCACTAAACTAAAGCTCACTAAAATAAAGCCACTCATCTTGAAGACTAAACTAAAGTTCACTAAAATAAAGCCACTCATCTTCAAGTTTACTAAAAAATAAAGCTCCTGAGAGGTCATATTGGTTTGTCCTTGGAAAGCCACTCATCTTGAAGTTCACTAAAGTAAAGCTCTTGAGATGTCATATTGGCTCGTCCTTGGAAAGCCACTCGTCTTGAAGTTTTTTAAAATAATTATTAATTTATTATTATTATGTTAAATTTATTTAAATGAGTAAACGTATAATAAACGGTTTGACAGATCTCACCCGAATACGACCCATTTATTAAACGTGTTTAACGGGTCAACCCGTTTATCACTCAAACCCGTTAAGATCTTACCCAAACTCAATTATTTCGTGTCGATTCGTGTTGATTAATCGTGTGGTGTTAGATTTTGAAGAGCCAAAATAAAGGGAATAATATAAGAAGGGGCCATATTTAGGCCTTCTATTACTAAGATAAATTACACTTTTATGTTGTTAGACTATATTTTTTTTATCTCATTTCACCCCTTTAGTACTATTAGATGTCTTATATTGGTCCCTCAACTTGTTAATTGATTCCACGTTCCCAAAAGAAGCATCTGTAGTGTTATAGACGAAAAATGTTTTACTATCATTAAATTTTAGGACAAAGTGAAATAAAATTACATAATTCATGTGGTCAAACTGGCACGGATGCTTACAATTGGGCCAATGTAGAACCAACAATCTCAGTTAAAAGTGCAATGTAAGATACATGACTGTTGAGGGACAATGTGAGACATCAGCCTAATTGAAGGAGTTAAATTGTAATTCTTTTTAATATTTCTATTATCATGTTTTTTATCAAATGATCATTAAAGTATAAAAATTATAAACGATTAACAAAAAATTCTTAACTTGAATTATAACAATTATAGGGTAAAGTTCATTTTATCCCCTTATGGTTTACTGCTATTGCAGATCACCATCCTGTCCTTCTAAAATAGCACATAACCCTCCCGTGGTTAATGAACTAAAACAAACCGTTAACTCTACTAACAAAAAAGTTAAAATGACCTTAATACCCTTAGGTTGTCTTTGGTTTAAATATTAGGAATGACCCAATTAGATAATATTATCTATTCTTTATCTATTCATCTGGTCCTTGGACTAATTATAGTAATAATCACTCTTCATTCCATGTTTGGTTCAAATATTAAGAAATAGCGGTCCACATTTATTTCATCCACTATTTTGTTTGGATGAAATATTAAGTAATTGTATAAATATTTTAGTGAGTTTTATTTTATTAAAAAAAATCTCAAATAAAGAGCGATAGTTATATTTTAAAAGTTATTAAAAAAGTGAGAGTTTCAGGGTTTTGTTGTCTTTTTATTATTATTTTTTTGGTATAGGCAACCACATAATATACACGTGAAATTTTATGGAAAATGTGATGGTGGATTTTGGTCCACTAGCTACAAGAGACCTCGGTGATCTACAAAATTTTCTTCTATTAGAAACAGCAAAATCACAAGCTAAACCCGGTTTCACAACACCCTTAGCATAGGATTCAAACATAACATATGAAACCACCGCAAAGAACATAGATTTCTTTTCTAGTAGATCTAGAAGACTCAGACCCATTTCAATGGATTCAAACAAAAAAATTGCATTTTGAAAAGTCCATAAACGATGAAGCTGGTGAGTTCCAATCAAAGATCGATCAAGAAGAAATAGAAACTCATTGCTATTATTAGTCTTCAAGATCAAGAAAAGCCTTGAACAAAACCCAGAAGTGTCACAGGGAAGAGCTTTCACTAGATTCAAGATTTTGCTACCCAAATCAAATGTACAATGCCAACAAAGACCCGAGAGAGAGAGAGAGTTGAGAGAAGCGAGTTTCTTCACACCGGTTGAAACACGCTAAATCCATTTTTAGCTCATTATTTTGAACCATATTTTTTATTTAAAAGTGTAATCATTGATTCTATTTTTTAACAAAAACAGAATTGTTGAATCCACTTTTTATTTTTAATAAAAGTGAAATTATTAATTCCATTTTTAAAAAATGTTGTATTTTAATAAATAAAATTCAAAAATACCATATTTCCGTATTAAAATTTCAAACAACTATTTGAGTTATGTGACCATCAGTATTTCACTCTTTCGCTCCCGCTTATATATATTGAATTATTAATCTGCATATACTCCCCATAACTGGAACAAAGAGCCCGTTCTGGGTTTCCACTTTCCGGTCATGGCTTCCACCCAATGTCTCGTCGTTTTATTCCTAATCACATTCACATCCACCGCTTTTTCCCGTTCAATCCTCGAAACCTCCCCAAAAAGCCACCACTCCTTCACCTTTAATCCGATCTCCATTCGCCGGAAAATTCCAAACGACTGCGACAATTGGTACTGCGACAGCTGGAGACTCTCCGTCGAGACTGATAACGCCAGATCTTGGACCCAGATTCGGCCAGGTGTTTGGGATTTCGTAGAGGGTACGCCACCTGCCACCATTATTCGTCGGACTTGGAGGTTGTCGCCAGAATGCGTTGGAGTTTGCAAAAGAGGTTAACGTCTCCATCCACGGCAAGGACGCTTGGGTCTTTGATATTGACGAGACGTTGCTGTCTAATGTTGGGTATTTTCAGTAAATGGTTTCGGGTGAGTCACTTGACTGAGGAAGATTACGTCAAGTTATCGTCGTACCAAAGCACGACACCGCACTAACACGAATTTTTCTTCATGTTTAATTTCTTGTAAATTTGCATTGCTCATACCGTTCCACCACACTCTAACTACTGATGCATTCAGATCCCTACAAGTAGCCCCAGAGTGAACTTGTAAGATAAGATCTGTCAATGTCCAAAGCATTTCCTCATAATCTTCCTACTTTCCCCGGCCCTACTCTTTTTGCCATAAACTGGTGCATTTCAACATTATTTTTTGTTCATTCAACTCCTTGTTGGTGGTTTTAAGACTGTTGATTTACATCCAGACATGTTGATGTTGCCGCTCTCTTCTCTGAGTGGGTGGACTTGGCTGTGGACCCTGCTTTATCTGCAAGTTTGGTGTTGTACAAGGAGCTCCAAAAGATGGGATTTAAGTTAATCTTGTTAACTGGCCGCAATGAATCTTTGAGGAATGCTACAAAGAAAAATCTGTTCGAAGCAGGATACAGCAATTGGAAAGGCTTATCATGAGGTAAAAAATCTATGGTTT